AGGGGAGAGGGGAGGGGGGAGGCAGTAAGGAGAGCAGAGAGCTTTTCTAGTTTACAGATCAGCTTCTGGCTGCTGCTTCTTGGGCTGCTGGCTCTTCCTCATCCTAGGGATTTGGTGACCCCATAGTTACCCTGACCTTTAGCTGGATCACCTACCTACCCAGGAGAATAATCACAGCACACATTTCCCTCTTCATGCTCCCCCAAAGTGCTTCATCTCTAGAAACTAAGTGTTGGGTGGGCTCAGAATCACAGGTAATGCCTCTGACCCTTGGCAGGGAAGTCACCCCAAAGCCTCAGGAATGCCAGGACAAACACAAAGGGATTCATTGACTTAAAAAGAAAAAACTCCACACCTTGAGAGCAAAGCTGGAAAGAAGCTCCACAATTCACCTCCTCCACCACCCCACACTCCCAGCTCTGACCCTGGATTAAGAACCACCTAGCTATCTGCACCACTGACTTTAATGAAATTAGTTTTTCAAATCGACATGGGATCATTTCAAGTATGATTCGCATGAAAGTACTTTCTGCCCTTTCTTATGACAACTCTTGACCTTTTGAAAATGCACAAAGCACTGATCACCAATAAAAACCTTTAGCAACCTTAATCTCCCTGATGGATTCCAGATGCAAAGAGAAGGGTTTCCAAAGTGGCAGCTCAATGGGCAAGTGGGACACAACACAATCAATATCTTTGCAGTCCTTTCTCTCCCAGGCAAAGTTACCAAGTGCAGTCCTGCCTTTTTTAAAGGGTTTCTCAATCTTTGCACTATCAACATTTGGGGCAGGATGATCTTTGTTGTGGTGGGCTGGGCTGTGCACGCTAAGATATTTAGATACCTACAGCACTGCACTTACTTTCAACAACCAAAAACGTCTCTGTTGGCAAAGTACCTGCTGTGCAAGCATGAGGACCTGAGTTCAGATCCCCACGCCCACGTAAGAGCCAGGCATAGTGGGCTGCATCTGTAACCCTAGAGCCAGGGGGACTGCAGATAGATGGATGACCTGATGAACTCCAAGTGCACGGAGAGACTTTATCTCAAAGAATAAGCTGGAGAGCGACTGAGGAGGACACTGGATGTCAACCTCAGGCCTCCACATGAGCATCCCACACATGACTCCAGACACTGCCATTTTTCTTGAGGCTGGAAAAAAATGACCCTGGTTGAAAGGCACTCCTCTGAAGTTTCTGCCACATTCTAGTTTTTACTACCCCCCCTTGAAAAAAAGGAAGGAAAGAAGGAAAAAGGGGAAAGAAAAGAAAAAGTGGAACCTGCATCCAGAGCAGAGAAGAAGAAAAGCTCTTCTAGTGCCCAGCCTGCGTCGCCCCGCACGCTATCACCGTCTCAACCAGTGTCCTGCACAGACTGGCCTAGGACCAGAAGTCAGGCTGACCTGGGAACACAGGAGTCTGTTCCACACTCAACCCTGCCCCTAGCCCGGCTCTCTCCTGGGGCATTCTCACATAACAATGGTTGAATTGATCCTTTCTACTTGCTGGTAGCCTGACTCCTGTCCAGGCAAGTGTTCACTTCCAGGACCTGTCTCTTCTACACAGACAGCAATGGCTGAATCTCTTTACAAATTAAGAGAACAAATATTCCTTTTATCCCAAGTGATCTATACTGCTAAAAGGGGGCCGAGGAGATAGCTCAGTAGTCAGTAAAGTGCTTGCCTTGTATGCACAGGAACCTGAACTGGATCCTAGTACCCATGTGAAAAGGCCAGGTATGGAGGCACATTCCTGTAATCCCAGACTTGGGGAGGTGGAGACCCTGGGGCTCTCTGGCTAGCCAGCCAAGGCTACTTGGTGAGTCTCAAGGCCAATGAATGTCCCTGTCTAAAATGACAAGATGAATGGCTCCAGGGGAACAACACCTGAGGCTGAACGCCAGCTTCCACACGAGTACACCCGCACACACATATGTGAACATGCACACACACAAAATAATCATGCAGGATAAAATGTTAACAGTAGGTGATGCATGGGAAGTGATTATTCACTGCAATGCTTATTTATATCTGACAATTGGCCTACAACAAATATGAAGTGTCGTTTACTAATTAAAAAATTTTAATTTATTTGTTCTTATTTTATGTGTGTGAATGTTATGCCTGGGAAGCTGTACATCACGGGGATTCCATGGGGACAAGATATGGGAAAGTCAAAGGCCATCTGCAGAGGGATGGACAGGATGCAAGTGGCCACAGGTTGGAGCAAGAAACGATGAAGCCTGAACTGAAATCAAGGCCGAAGGACACAGGCCAGGCGTGGTGGTCACACATGGTCACACTTGCAAACTCCACACTTTGGAGGCCGAGGCAGGAAGATTCTGAATTCTGGGCCAGCCTGGGCTACACTGTGAGACTGTGTTTTAAAAATATCAATGAGCGCTCTCCCGCCCTCAGGCCTCTCTGGGGGTAAGTCTACAGTGCAGACCTCCGTG